GCGGAGCCCTCTGCAGGCAGCTGCTGCTGACCCTCGTGGTGAGTGGAGCCCGGGAGGCGTGGAGCGCAGCCAGTCACCAGGAGCCGGGATGGGGCAGAGGATGGATCTGCTCTGGTACCGCGGGGCTAGCGGTAGGGGCGAAATGAAGGACCGAAAGGTGACATCTGCGGCTCAGCTCAATCCGGCGGGGCAGGGACGAGCCAGATTCGCGCCCCGGCGGCGGGTGGGTGGGTGAGTGGGTGAGGGTAGGAAACGAGTCCTGGCGGGAGGTTCGGGACCGAGGATTTGGGGAGATGTTCGATTGTTTGTTTTACGGGTCGCGCTCCCGCCTCGCTGCGCTCTCTCAGGCGCCGTAGCGAGTGGGTCGGGGCGGGGGTCTGCGCTCCTTTCGTCGCTCCAGGGGCCGGTGATGGTGGTTGGGACGGGTTTGGGTGGAGAAGGAAGAAGAGTATTCGTTTAGGTATTTGAGGAATCCCGAGTGAACAAAAACCTGAGACGTGAGATGCGGTTCTAGGTGCGGCCTCCACCGCAGGGTCACCTGGGATGGGGAGGTTGGTGAGTGGAGGGGCTGGAGCGGGGCCCCTGGATCCTGGCGTGCTTACCTCTGAGAAACGGCTTCCAGGCTTTGCCTGGGCTAAAGGACATTCGGCGGCTCACCCGGGCGGTCCACCCCCACGAGCCACCTGGCCGGGGGCGGGGTGTGCCCGGGGCGCGAGGGGGTGGCCTGCTGGATTAGGGCTGGGGATTGGGGTCTATGGTGTGATGGGGGAGCGAGGTGGTGCAGAGGAGATAGAATGCAGGCTGGGAGGAGTGCTGGGGTAGGGGTGGGGTTGGGTGGTACTTCGTCCCTCTCCAGGGAGGACTGCGCAAGTCCAGAGCCCAACCTGGGGCCTGTGGAGCCTGGGAAACCGGCGACCCAGGACCAGATCCACCCGGATAGGAAGTTAGGGACGATCCTCGGAGAACTTGGGAACATATAGCAAAAAATCGGGAACTCTGACGGTGCGATTACGCGCGCGGGCGCTTCAGGCGAGACCAGGGCTGCATTCCGGCTGCGCTGTGGAAGGGAGCCGCAGACCCGCGGCCTACCTGCTACCGAGGATGCGCGTGGGGTCCGGAGGCGAGAGGACCAGCCCAGCCTGGGAGCAGGTCGTCTCTGGCTACGGATTCTTGCTGCTCCTCCGCCCTCAAACAGGGCGAGTGCGTGCAAGCTTTGTCCTCTCTTTGAATCAGGGCGTTGTGAACAATGGATTGGTAGTTAGGATCTAAGATACATTTATGGCCAAGGGATTGTACAACTAAGCGCGTCGACCCGTCACAAAATGTCTGAGCTGATGAAATGACTATTTACAAATGGGAACTGCTCCCAAAGTGTGTTCTTTTTGTGATATATTTGAAAGCGTTTCCAGCTAATATCTTTTAAAAGCGTGAATTTAGTGTTTTGCGTTTTCCCTGCGAAAGGAATTCGGGAACGGGGAGAAGAAACTGCGGAGGTGCTGTGTTCCCAAGATTTCCCGAGTGTTCGCTGGAGGGGAGGGCGTGGGGTTCGAGGAGCTGTCCCGATGGATGGCAGGCGGTGGGGGTGGGGGTGCTGGGGTGTGGCAAGTCAAGAAGGTGCCTGTATTTCTAAATAGAGATAGCGTCAACTCTAGCGTATCGTTTACTCCTTTAGGATTATTTTAAATTTTAAACAGATTTTTCGAGTTTAGATTAAACGGTCTAACTGGAGACTTGAACACTAGAGAGGGCATATAGAGAACAATTTCTTTCATCCACAATCCCTAGTTTGCAGACACCTTCAATTTCTCTCCAGATGGGTAAATAAAAACTTCTGTTGACCATCCTATGTCTGTACTTCCTTTTGACTCTCATGACTCTCCAAGCTTCAGTATAATATTAACGGCATCACATTTTAGAAATGCAGTTTTCATTTTATGGACGCCTTGGTGGATCTCTCAAAGACAATTCCTTGTTGGAAGCAAGAGCTCTTCAAAGCGAGTCTTTAACACAGAACTGAGACTTTTAACATGCTAGCCGTCCCACTGAGCCACCTCGTAGGTTGTGGGATCTTCCCTTTTGCACTTCCCTCCTCCTGAATCTGCCTCCTTTCCCCACCCTTCTATCCTCAGTACACTCTAAACTGCTAATTAACTACAATTCCTAATCATCCTCCCACTCACATATACAAAGCAAGGGGCGGGGGGAGAAAGAAAGTAACAGCGCCATGCCATGATTGTTGAAAGCACTGAGTGTCTCTTAAAATGTTTCTCCTCAATGTCATAAAAATTGTTAGGGGTGAAAACAAACTTGTATGAGTTCATTTGCTCAGATGTCTTCTGCCCTGTTACAAATAATGAGACTATTTTATGTGTGAGTTTAATATTGTTCTCCATATCAAATCCACTGTGGGAACTATATTATATTATCTATTATATGTTATAAGTAGTGTGTACTTGAACAGGGTTAATCTATCATTTTGCTAAAGGGGCTCTTCAAAAGGAATTTAAGTAGCATTTTCCTTTATAGCATAACATGTTTTTCCCCTTGGAGTATGTGGCATTCTGCCCATAATCTATGGTGACAAATGGGCATTCTATCTGCTCAGATTTTACAGCATTAAATCCTGAGAATAATGTGGCTCCTTTACCAGGCTTTTTTGTTATTGTTGTTCATGATAACATTTGACATATTCACCTTTTTAAAATAAAAACGAGTACCATAATTCCTATTATCTTTTGCATTAGTGGGGAAAAAATGCCTAGGACAAATAAAGGAAATAAATGAGAACTAGTTTATTTCAAAATCATGAGCTTAAAGAAGTCAGAGTTGGAGCATGTTCGTATCAGCGTATCATCTATCACCTACCTTCTTCAAAGGGGTTATTGATGCTCATACTGAGGTACAGCTAGACCCTGCGGCACCTTCTGAATCACTAAATACATGTAAGCCCTGCACATTTTTTGGTCCTGTTGTAATCCCTGAGGCAGGTGCCATTCCATATATGGTATTCCTGGTGACCTCCAGCTAATTGTACTTTCCATCGAACTAGAATTCTGTTGAACTAGAATTCCATCTTACAGAGCTTGCTTAGAAAGCAATTCAGTAGAATCATCAAATTGCTGAGAATACAAAGAGGTAAATCTTACAATTCGAGGTGGTAAGAACTTGGAAGGTAAGATCTCCATCTTGAAGCGGGCAAGTCTTCATGGGAGAAATGATGAATTGAAAATTCCATAACCATTTTGCTCAGTCAAAAGGATCGCCTTTATTTTTCAGATATTCAATAAATTTCTGTTCTTTGGCTTATTTTTCCTCTCTTGAAAAAGGTGTCATTTTAGAAAGCCTACCTTGGGTATTCACTCTAAAACTGAACCACTGCACAAACGTGAAACACTTGCAAGTATGCCTTTAGGTTTCAGTCTCCCTTTGGCATTAGATAGTTCTATCAGGATTTAATGATTTGTGTGATAAGGGTTCTATCATACAATTAATAAAATTTGGATGGTACTGTAAAAAGAAACAAAGCAACTAATTTTTCCCAGACTATAATAGATAACACTTTGTATTATCATTTTAAAAAATTTAATTTGTTACATTTTAATTTAAAGTTGCTTGCAACACTAGGTCTTATAAATCAGATATTTCAAGTTGTCCTGGAGGGTTCTTCATTAAAAGAGATTATTTTATAACTCAGTCAATCCATAATACATTAATATTAAAAATTTTTTTGTATGCTGTAATTTTTTTTTTTACTGGGCAGTCATCTCTACAAAAATTATTTTTAAAATACCTTTAAAAGTCATTAGTTCATTCTTACTAATCTAATGGTAGCTTTGTAATTTTTGCTTTATTTTTAGTAATGCATCCAATCTCCATAAACATAGTATCAAGTTTCTTTATAATTCAAGAAGCATAGCATGACTGAAATCTGTATATGAATATCATCCCTTTCAATATCCATCCCTCATATTAATGAATTAATTGTGTACTCTTTCTATTTTCACACAGCAATGAAGGTGAATGAGCTACTGAGCATGGATAAATTTCACAAACATAATCTGAGCAAAGAAAGCAAGTTGCATACCATTCGCATACGACTACATACATTTAAAGCCCCAAATTGGCAAAAGAAACCAATCTTCTTTACGGATCTGTATACATGGGATAAAATTAAGCAGAAATGAGGAAGTAAATGATTAACAAAACGAATCCATCAGTGGTTACCTGAGTTTGGAGGGGTTGAGGGATGGGAAGAAAATGGAATTGGGGAGAGGTATGTAGGGACTTTGAAAATAATACTAATAAACAAGCAATAGAGAAGCTCAACAAAAGCACAGCATTATCATTATTAGCTAAGAAAGGAAGAGCTATTCGGTGATGGTTCTGGATCAGCTGGCTATCCACATGGCAAAAGATGAGTTCCAGGTAGTGTGGGATCTTTCACGTAGCTAATCTATAGCTGGCAAATGGCAGTTAGATTTATTTCCTTTAAATTCTTAACCTCGCTCATTTTTCCTTTTATGTATTTTGTTTGATTTCTGTGCTTGTTAGGACCTCCAGCAGAATGCTGGACACAAGCAGCTATAGTGGCCATCGTGGATTTGTTTCTGACTTTAAGGAGAATGCTTTCACCACCTCAGTGTTAATTATGAATTTGTTTCTTTCTTTAATTTTTGTTAAGTACACTTCATTATGTAAAGAAAGTCCATTCCCTTGTACTCCTAGTTTGCTAATAATTTTTATAGCAATGAATATAATTTCCCACTTATTTTGAAGTGAACATATAGTTTTTCTCTCTCAATATATTATGATGTTAAAATACAAGAACAGATTTTCTAGTGTGAAACCATCTTTTTATTCCTGGCATAAACCTTAGCCTTGAACATGATATGTCTTGAAATACATTATTGATTTGGTTTGCTGCTATGTATTTCAATATTTCAAATATATCTCCATCAGTGAGATCAGGCTATTACTTTTCAACTTCATACGATCCTCATATCCTCATAAAATGAATTAAGGAGTTGCAGTTTCTTCTGTTCTTTGAAACACTTTATGTAAGGCAGAGATGATCTGTGTCATATAATTATGGAAGAATTCACCTATCACATGTCTGGACTTGATGGATATGAGGGTGTGTGTGTTTGGAGACATTTGGCTTCTAATTCAATATCCTTAATGGTTATAAGCCTATTTTGATTTTGAATACCTCCTTGAGTCAACAGTTATTTTTGTAGAAAATTGCTTATTTTGCCCCTTTTCAAATTAAGTGGAATAATATATTAACATTAACTATTTTTAAAACATCTGTCCTTTCCGTAACTGTGCCTCTTTTTATTCCTAATATTGTTTTGTCTGTGCCTTCTCTATTTTTTCCTTGCTCAATCGTAGCAGGTTGTCCATACTTTCAAATCTATTATTGTATTTTAACATAATCACCCATATGGCAAAAGATTAAATAGCTACAGTGAATCACACACAAAATACCATTCCAGATGGGTAAAAGACTTAAAAGTTGGAAGTAACTTTATAATTTTTAGAAGAAAATGTTGGATATTATATTTATGACAGGGCAGAGGGAAAGTTCTCAATACATAAAAGTACAGACCAGAAGAAATGATTTAAAACATTGACTACCTTAAAAAACTACAGGAAATGATTAATAACTTTGACTACTTCAAAACTGAAGCACTGTTTATCAAAAAGGTACCACAAGAAGAGGGAAAAAGCGACCCACATAGACCTACAAGTGAAAAATAATTAAAAATGGACAAACAATACAAAAATGTTTAAGGGAGAGGAATAGACAAGTTTTGGTGTGGACACGGGTTTTCATTTCTCGTGGGCAGGAGTGGAATTGCTAGATTATATGTTAAGTTTATGTTTAAAGTTTTAAGAAACTGCCAAACTGTGTGCCAAAGTTGTACCATTTCACATTTCTACCAGCAATGCATGGGGTTCTGCCTTCTCTAGATCATCATCAACACATGTTATGTTCTGTCTTGTTTATTTTGGCTTTCCTAGTGGGTCTCTCATTGTGCTTCAGGTTGGCATTTCCCTAATGCTTAATGATGGTGGGCATCCTTCCTTCTGCTTGTTGGCCATCTGTGTAACTTCTCTGGGTACTGGCTGTTCAAATCCTTTGCCCATTTTTTGGTGTGGTCTTTTTTTTTTTTTTGGGTGTGGTCTTTTTATTATTGATTTCAAAGACTTCTTTATATATTTTGGACAAAAGTCCTTGTTGTTATGTAATTTGAAAATATTTTCTCCATTCTGTAGGTTGCATTTTTACATTCTTTATGGCTGTTTTTTTAAAGGGCCACAGTTTTTAAATTTGATTCTGTCCTATTTATCAATTTTTCTCTTATCATTTGTGCTTTTGGTGTTATAAGAAATTGTTGCCTAACCACGATCATGAAGATTTGCTTTTCAGTTTTTCTCTGACTAGTTTAGTTCTTACACTTAGGTCTGTGATCCATTTTAAGTTAATTTTATATATGAAGTGAGTTCAGGGTCCAAATTCCTTCTTTTTTTTTTTTTTTTTTTCTGGTTTTGGTTTTGGAAATCTCCAAAAACCAGGCAACCACAAATGCAAGGGCCTATTCATGGGATTTCAGTTCTATTGCATTCATCTGTATGTTTGTCCTTGGGCCAGTACCACGCTCTCTTGATAACTGTGTCTTTGCAGTAAGTTTTGCAGTTGGGAAAGCCTTCAACTCTGTTCTTTTTCAGGTTTGTTTGGGTCACTGGGGCCCTTGAAGTTCCACCAGGGTTGATTTTCAATGTCTGCAAAAAAAAGCTATTTGGGATTTTGATAGGGAGTACATTGAATTTGTTAGGTGAATTTTGGGAATGTGTCTTTTGATCAGTGAAGACGGGATATTTACTCTGAATGGACTTGTTTGCTCAATTATGTTTTCAGATTTTCCATTGCTAGTGTATAGGAATGCAGTCGGTGTTTGTGTGCTGATCTTGTATCTTGCTACCTTGCTGAACTCATTTATTATTTTTGATCGTTTTTTTTAAGAAAATCCTTAGGATTTTCTTTGTTCGATATCATATCTTTTGCAAATAGAGGCAGTTTTACTTTTTTCCCAACCTGGATGGCTTTCATTTTATTTTTGTGTGTAATTGCCCTGGCTAGAAGCTCCAGAACCACATTGAACAGAAGTGGTGAGAGTGGGCATCATTGTCTTGTTCCTTCTGTTAGAGGAAAGCATTCAGTCTTTCTCCGTTAAGTATGATGCTGTTCATAAGTGCTCTTCACTGCTTATGCTGAGCACATTCTCTTCTACTCCAAGCCTGTTAAATGTTTTTTAATTGCAAATGAGCATTGGATTTCGTCAATTGCTTGCATCTATTGAGATGATAATGTGGCTTTGTTCTTTATCCTTTATCTTAAAACCATTTTACTGAGGTGAGATGAACTTACAAAAAGTTCTGCTTACTCACTGCTTACGACTCGATGAGTTTGGAGATAAGTATGTACCTGTGAGATTATCATCACAATCTATTTCATAAACATATTTGTCACCTTCAAGTTTCCTCTCGCCCTCTTTGTGTATTATTATTACTTTCTTGTGGTAAGAACACATAACATAAGATTAATCCTCTTAGCAAAAATTTTAAGTATACAATACAGTTTTCTTAACTGTAGGTACCATGCTAGCCAGTAAATCTCTAAAACTTATTTATCTTGCATATCTGTAACTTTGTCCTCTGTTCTACATTGTATTAATATGACCATTTCCCCCCTAGGTCTTCAGTTTAGCTTGTGAAGCCTGCAAAAATGTGAAATTTAATATACCTTCCCAACTAGAGGCAGACAAGTTGGTTGGCCGAGGTGAGAAATTTTGAAACAGTGCTTTTTAAAACAGAAATTTAGTTTACCTATGCTGGAAAGAGCATGTTATGCAGTCTTTGGAATTAGCCTGAATCTATTTATAATTAGATATAAATCAAGATAATTTTAAATATACGTTCTGTCTTTGTATAACTCTATAGAATTCTGTGGTTGATTCTAATGCAGACGTCCTAGTCATTTATGTTTTAACAGTTTAAAAATTACATAAAGAATTCCCTGTAGAATACTGTCTTTCATTCCCCTAGGACTCTAGGCATTGAGAGTCACAGATAAGGTGCTGAGAGCATCGCAGCAGTGTTTCTTTCAGGGCTACAGCTGCACTGGGAAAATAGCGAGATGCTCCACTCTCTTCTAAACTAAGCTTCATCAGCCACGCGCAGCCGGAGAAGCTGGGGCACCTCCAACTTTCCCAGCAGCTGGGCGGGTGGCCCCTTCTCTGTAGAACAGGGAATATTGGAGGAAAACATTATGATTTCTTTTTCAGAGATATAGTTTGTCCCAGGGGTACCAATTTTACTTTTTCAACAAAGTGTCCCTCCCATTCCTGGGAAGAAAGAAAGGAAAGGATGGAAAGAGAAGTCTGGGAAAGGACCGGAGGTTATCGCTCTGCTTAAAATGTGAAGAGGAGTTACGTCCTCACTGCTAAAGACTTTCTCTTCTTTTTGACTTAATGTCTCCATTTATGATGGATTTGGATGAAAGTGAAAACACTGTACGTAGGTAACATATGGATCCTTTGAGATGAAATTACTTAAGTGGGCATTAGGTTATCACTTAAGCGAATATTAATGTGTCAGTTTGGTTTCTGATAAAACAGATAGCTGAAGAATGAGATGGATTCCATCCTTTTGATACAGCAGCGAAACACTCCTGTGATACTTATATTTTATAACTTTTTACTTGGGAAAATTTCCTGGGAAAGAAGACCCCCATGTGGAATTTCAGTGGGGAGCCTCGGAAAGCTGGGAACAGGGTCCAGAGGAGAATTCTGGGTCCCTGGAAGGTGGGGGTGAGGGGCACAGCGTACTAGGAGAGCACCAATGCCAAAACACTGGTCTTCCTTCACTGACTGCCAGACTCACACACTGTGTCTCTCTTTGGACTCGTGTATAACTTCTGGCTGAAGATAGGTGTATCTGTCTTCATTGTTAAGGAAAAGTTTTGTGCGTTTATTCAGGTATGTGTGGGGGTGTCCAGCGCATCTTTGTCAGGATTGTAACAGGCACACCTCTTTAATAAGAAAATCATTTTCATAAGCCTTTTAGAAGCATATAAAGACTTAGAACACCTTATTTAATACAAGAATACAATCAAGAATTATTATTTTTTAACCGAAAGAATTATCATTTAAAAATACATGCAGAGAGACTGGTTAAGATATTGGTAAATGCAAAGTGATTGATTTCATTCTACTTCATAAATTTGATTGTATAGATTATTTTAACACCTGTTTTGTTTTGTTTTGTTTTCCTTTTTGCGTGTGTTTCTACTTTACGACTTGGAAATTTTCACTTGCAGTTAATTTGAAAGAATGCCTCAGGTCTGCAGATCTCATCCACTCCAGTGACCCTGACTTCAGAGTTCAAGATGACGGGTCCGTTTACACAGCCAGCGCTGTTCTGTTGTCTGGTGAGAAAAGATCATTCGCCATACGGCTTTCTGACACCAAGAAACAGACACAGAGAGAGATTATGGTGCTCCTGGAGCGTCAGAAGAAGGTATTCAAAGTACGCTGATATTTCCAGGCGTGTTTTTCTTTTCATTAAGTGCTTCCATGACAAATTGCAAAGAGGACAAAAGGAAAAATAATCTTCGTCTCCTTTCCCCTTCCCTTTTGTTTTCTGCGTTCCCTTCTCTCCTCCCTTGCCCCCTCCCCGCTCCCGCCCCTTTCTCTCCCTCCTCTCCCCTCTCTCTTTCCCTCACTGGTTAAACACTGGCTTCGGATTTTGCTTTGTTAAATCTAGTGGCACCTCCTCTGGGAAGGCTTCTTCCATCTCTAAAGTCTAACTAATTACTTTTGTATCAGTGTCAGTTTGGTTACGCCTCTGTTGCAGCATTCAGAATTTTATTTGTGCAAACAATTTACCTGTAGCTGCTTAAGGGCATGATCCATCCCTTTCGTGTTTATAGCCTCTGTTACACCTGACCCATAGTCAATAGGCTCAATTAATATGAAGTGCAGTAACTCCCAGTGAATAAGAGGTAGATTGCAAGTGCCACAGTGATCCTGATATTGAAATAGGATGGAAATCGTGGCGTGTGTATACACGTGAATGGTACTGGCCATCGCTCCCTGATCATTCGCTGCAGTGCTGGAGTCCTCATTATGAGGAACGCCGTTACGAAAGTATTCACAAAAACAAAGGTTTAGGCTGGATTACAACTCATCGATGTGAAGGGTATTAACGATAAAGTTAACTTACATGACTTTAGCATTTTAATAAATGTTTCATATAATTATTTATTGATTCTCAGGAGATACAATGTCTTCTTGCTACACCATGAAATAAAATGGAAATGACTAGAAGCTCCATGAGAACTTTCTGCAGTGCTGGAAATGTTCTGTAATCTGCACTGTGTGACATGGTCGCCCAGTATTAATGGCTACTGAGCACTGGGCATGTGGCTAGTGCAACTGAGGGATGGAATTGATATTTCATTTAATTCTAATTAGTTTAAAATCAAACAGTCATGTATGGCTTGTAGCTACCATATTGGACAGTGCAGTTAGAGTGTTAAGGCAACGAAGAATGTGCACTGGTCTCACTCTGGTTGACCTGAGAGTATGAGGTTTTAGTACAAATAACAAGTAAGCGCTGTCTACAGATTTTTACAAAGAGGATGTGTTTTTTTATCTTTTTTGGGGACAGAACAGGAAGAACTAAGAGTACAGGGATGATTTTCCTAACCTGAAAGTATGGGTAATGTTGGAAAGGTATACGCAATGAAATTCTTTGGTTCATGAAAACTTTAACATCTGGGCACGTTCTTTCTTACCCTTCTAATGCAAACAAAGCGCTTGTTGTCTGGTCTTTAGATTCAACGTGGAATTCCTGAGCCTGAGCCTTCAGGGAGGTGTTAGGTTTTTGGTCCGTCCACTATTTAACAGTGAAGTAGGCTGTGACGCTTTTGTTTATTTTTAATTTTCTTTCTCTCCATTCAGGTCCTGAGGAAAAGACACACTAATGAAACTGTTCTCAGGCGTTCCAAGAGGCGATGGGCACCGATTCCCTGCTCCATGCAAGAGAATTCCCTGGGCCCTTTCCCTCTGTTCCTTCAACAAGTAGGTTTTACACTATTCCTTCCTGTTGGGAGTGCTTTAATTCCAAGAGTCTGTTTTGTTCAGGTTTAATAACTCTTTAAACATTTAAAAATACACAGATGACTAAAGCTACTCGTAAAGTATAATAAAAGCAAATAAAATGAGAAAATTACTAAAAAAAACTAATAATGAGAAAAAATGGAAAATCACTTAACAACTAATAATAATATGAGAAAGACTCTGCAGCCAGTAGGTGATCTTTGTTAGTTTTTTCATTCATTTAGCAGCTGGTTCTTCCTCATCCCCATGTCCCCACCACGCCCACCACCCCGACCCCTCAGTCTCTAAACTCTGGAGAGCTCCGGGGCTCGGCTACAAACCTTGTCTCTTGTTTATTTATATTCACTTTCTCAGCAATCTCATCCAGCCTCATAGCTTGAAGCACTATGCATGCATTGGAGACTTAAGACATCCTTTTTCCCGCCCAAACTGTCTAATGAATATTTCCACTTGGAATTTCGGCAGACATTTCAGACTTAACAAATACAAATCAAATGTTTGGGTATTCTGCCCAAAATATCCTCCCATCTCAATTAATGCCCGCTCCATTCCTTCCACTGTTGGGGCGTTTGATAAGGTTTCAGTTGTGGGAAGCACACTTCTCTTTAAAGAAATAACAGATAAGAATTTACTACAGTGTATTAAACACTTTTTCGAATTGCTGAGAAGGCTGAAGAAGCAAACTTTGGGTTGAATTTTCAGAAATGAATCCCCATGGAACCTGCAAGAAGGGACATACTTCTTTCTCCATGTTGGGGAAGCCAATAATTCTAGAGCCATCCTGGGGTGCCACTGCCATGGTCAGGAGGGTGCCATGGGCAAGAAAACACTGCAGACAGGAAGCTGCTCCACTAAATGCAGCTCCAGAGCAGTCTGAACTGCTCCAGTCAGAGTCAGCAACATGACTGACCCCTACTCTGTCTCTCAATATCCATGAAGTTTGTAAAAACAAAACAAAACTAACAAGCAAAAAAACTACTCGAACGTCTGCTGCTGTAGATAAAAATAAAAGCAAAAAGATGCATCACAGGATGCTAGCAAAGGCAGCAGAAGCAGCAAAAATGAGGCACCTACCTTACTTATGGCTTCCAAATCTCACGCAAGCACGCCTCCTCATCCGTATTTAAATCCAGGACTCTCGTTTCAAGAGACCCTGCAAAAGAGAGAGTTTTGGGTTTGTGTTTATTTGAATCTTTCTAGCATCTACACTATGAGAGGACACAGTAGAAGGAGATCGATGTTGAGCCCCAATTTAACACGTCCATCCATTCTTTATAGTTAAATTTTTAATTTCGGTATTATTATCAGATCAGGGTATTTGCTGAATTTTACCAAGATCTCAAACTACAGCAGCTAAAGCATAATAGAGATTCAGTCCTCTCATGTCAAGGTGTGATCTGGGAAAGAGATTCTAATTTGTGAAATCACCAGGGATGCAGGCTTCTTTCTTTTTGAGCGTGGCCATTCTTGCAGGTTCAAGATGGCTCGTCGTTGTGTCTAAATGAGGGGACACACTCCTCCTCATTCTAGAGCACAGTCTGGGTCTCGCATGGATCACTTGCACTCACATCTCATCGACCTGCCTTTTTCTTGTGGCCACACCTAACGGCACGGGAGACTGAGCAATGTCTTTCTTCTGGGCAACCGTGTGCTCAGCTGTAAGTTCTAATGCTAAGATAGAGGAGCAGAATGGACCGTGGGAGCAGTACACCCTCTGGCATGGTGCCTTCCGCCTGCGCCCCATGCATCCAGCCCGCTGGTGAATCCTGTTGGCTGTATCTTCAAATGATGGATCCAGAACCTAACGACTTCCCACCACCCCTACTGCTGCCATGCTGGTCTAACACACCATCATCCCTCCCCTGAATTCTTGCACTTACTTTCTAGTGTTTCTGCTTCTTCCCTTACCTAGCCACCCAAGTCTAATCTTAACAGAACACCAAGAATTATCCAGCGGCAAAATAAAACAGGTATTGGTCTTGTCTAAACTCTCCAATGGCTCCCTGTCTGACTCCAAGCAAAAGCCAGCATCCTTGGCATCACTCACATGACGTAGCCTTCCTCCTCATCACCTGTGTTGTTTTCCCCTGGCTCTTGCTACTCCAACCACAATGACCTTCTTGCTCCTTGAACACTCCAGGTACAGCCCAGGTCTGGTCCCTTTGCACTTCCAGGTTCCTTTGCCAGGAAGAGTCTCCCCTGTTTATTTCCATAGCTCATTTCTTTAATTTTTGTTGATTCTCCTCCCAGAGGAACATTTTAATAGGCGTTCCTTTCGTTAGTACGTGAGAGTCTCTGTTTGCCTCGCCCCTGCCCACAATGGGTATTACTGTTCTTCTCTATCTTTGCCAAGTCAGTGGATGGGAAACTATGCCTTTTTGTTTTTAATTAGGGTTTCTTTGGTTACTACTAACACTGAACATTGTTTTCATTAAATCTGAGCAGTTAAAAAAAAAACACCTTTGGCCAAATGTTCATTTCTGTTTTGTGTGTTGAAGTGACAGAAGTGATTATTACATTATTAAAGTCATCTCTTTAAAATAAAAAAATAGAGGCACATAAGCTATATTTAAAAAGCATGTAATGAAATTTTTTTTACTTTCTTCTTTTCTGTTTAGGTTCAGTCTGATGCTGCACAGCACTATACCATCTTCTATTCAATAAGTGGACCTGGAGTTGACCAAGAACCTTTAAATTTGTTTTTCATAGAAAAAGACACTGGAAATCTATTTTGTACTCGGGCTGTGGATCGTGAAGAATATGATGTTTTCGATGTAGGAGTTTTTATTGATACACATGACTTTAAATAATTATGTTTCCTCTGCTATTCCACCTCCCCTTTTCTGTCTTCTGCACTCTCTTCTTAGAGCGTATCTTAAAGTCAAAGGAGCTAGATTTTGGAATACTTGATCTGCTCTTTATCTCAACTTTTGTTAGGTAAGCCTGAAATGAAGAAAAGAAATTTAATTGTATTTGAATATAAGTTCCAGCAAATTTCCACGAGCTGCTTTGCTTATGAGACTCTCTCTGTTTGGTCATGGGACTGTCTCCTCTCTGCAGGACATGGCCACAGTTAACTGGAAGGGTTCTTTTCTCACTTCTCTGGGTTTTTTTCCCCCTTAAACATGTATGATCATCTGACGCCATCTGAGAACTAGATAAGGAAGTAAAAGTGGGAGACCAAACCCAAATAAGCCAGCATTCTGATACGGATAAGCTTACATCAAAGGGGAATAATTCAAATAATTTTCAGCATAATAATTCAGACAATTTTCAGTGGAATATGGTAAATGCTGTGGGGTCATGCGGTCATCCCTGTGGTGCAGGGGGACTGATTCCCTATAGGCAAGAGGGCTTCTCTTCCTAAAAGAAGAGAGAGGAGATGCTGGGTATTAAACGTGACTGATGTCCACCATGTGACATTTCTGTGCTTTTGGCTAGAAAATTTTCAAATCTGGTGTAATCACATGCTGAATAGAAATACAATCTATTTGACGTTACATTGCCTTTGGTTAGCTGGCAACCGGGAAATTGTTAAATGCATATTGTTAGAAAACCACTTACAAAGATGTGACCTACAAGGTAAAACAATACAGGGGATTGGTAGTGACATTTTATTTAGATCATGTGGTAGGAATCGCAGTCTCTACATTCACATTTAATTCCTTATTCCAATAGCCTGAGTAGCCCCTGGCTTGCTGTGCTCTGACTGAGGTTTGATTTGAAGTGTAGCCACTTTTGCGAAACACTGGATGCTCTTAACTGTAGTTAAAGTGTTTCTGCATTTGATGCTTTGATAACTAAAGCAGCACTGACCGGAAGTTTTGAAGTGAATTCCTACTGAAAAGATTTGCAGAGAAGATTTGCAGATAAAGCATTGTGTTCTTTCTCACTAGATTCTTTATATGAAGACTGTTGAACCTGCTTCTCACTGTTTTACAGCTGATTGCCTACGCGTCAACTCCCGATGGGTATTCAGCTGACTTACCTCTTCCGCTGCCCATCAGAGTGGAGGACGAAAATGACAACCGCCCTATTTTCACAGAGGCCGTTTATAATTTTGAAGTTCCGGAAAGCAGTAGACTTGGTAAGACAACTTTTAAGAGTCAAATGTGCTGTGTTACATGTTTATATACATTGTTTGAGACAGTGAGTTCTCACTCAAAGCCAGAGCATCCTGAGATGACACTGGACCAACATCTACATAGCAGATTACATTTAATCCTACCAAATCCAATCAATGTGTAATTTACAAGATATTAAGGAGTTTGTGGTGTTGCCAATATGATGCCCATGAATTATAAAGGCAGACAGCAGTTATTCAAGCTTTGTACCGTATTTGTAGACTTTATTTCATTTCATCACTATGTGGGTTCATTGTTATTCCTGGCTCCAAGCGAGGACGTGCAGGGTAGAATGTACGATAAAACTAAAAGCAGTGTAGAAATTTTTATTAGATTTTATTTAGGAAGGTGCTGAATGACATCCACTGAGGATCCAATTTTTTAAGCTCTTATCTATATTGTCTCATTGCTTAAAACTACTACCATATCGCTTCCAGTTTAGAAAGAATGCTGGGATGACTTAAAGAAACTTACATCATATGTCCTTCATCCTAAACACTTGCTCTCACGTGTGGAAAACCAGTGTTTCTGTTTAGTTGGCATTCTTTTTTTTTGGTGGAGGGAGATTAATTCGGTTTATTTAGTCTTAGAGGAGGTACTGGGGATTGAACCCAGGACCTCATGCATGCTAAACATGTGCTTTGCCACTTGAGCTATACCCTCCCCCATTAGTTGGCATTCTTGATTGTCACCTGAGACTTGCAATATGGGGAATGGCTACTCTCAATCAAAGTGAAGGGAAGCGGACTCAGTCATAAAGGATGACTTTGCTAACTCACTGATTAAAGTTTCCAGTAGTTACTTAGATCTTCCCTGGATTATTATGACTGCAATTTCCTTTTATATTTTACTTTGATAATTTAATGTCGTAGATGTTAACCTTTCTGTTACTCACATGGACAATTAAAAAAATAAAAATAGTTGGTTTGGAGTTTGGGCGACTCAGTTTCTGATTCAGGCTCTGTTATTATTTCACTGTGGGAACTCATGAAAGTCCCTCTGTATTCTCTGACCTGTAAAATGAGTTAATTACATTAGATGACCTATAAGGTTTTAGACCTCACAAGTCTATGACCTCTGTTACATTCCTCTATTTTCAAAGAGGATGACTGGTTTTAGACCTGAAGGATTCTGCTCTCTTTGGTAGTAGCAGAGAAGACTCGAGGACAGACACTTCGATGCCCAGATTAACCCAAGAAACGTTAAGCATCTCACATCAGTAGGCTCAGACCAGTTAAGGCTGTGACACTCTGAGCTAGAAGGTGGTTCCTTGAGTTCGCCTTACCTCACACACAGAGGGTTTGGGCAAAGGCTCCCCAGCTAATATTGAAATACAGTACTCATGGGAAGGAGTTTGCAAGTCAAGGTTTTATGTGGTAAGTAAAGGAGTTCTGTACCCAGAGAATTAAAATAGTATTTATGTCTTCCTGTCAGTAAAATTGCAGGAAGAAACTGCAATGCCTTGTGATGCTCCTCAGGCCAGCCTCACTTATAGGGCTGTAGGCACAGTGGAGCTATGCAGTGTAATTTCACAGGCATTGGAACACCATCCTTATGCTATAAAAATACCTCCTGTATATACTCGATGATACCTGAAATCCTTTACCAGAGCAATATTCTTACTTTCCATACTGATGAAAAAATACCAAAATCCCCCACTGAAGAAAAGAGCTGACTTAAGTTCTCCCTGAATGGTAGACAGTATGAAATAAAATTAAGTGGGACCAGGGAGAGTGGGGTGTGGATACCAATCTGGTGCAAGAGGCTGAGGCAAATCAAGAAATAGCAAAATACATAGAAAGGACAGACTGGGATGTGAACGTGATCATTTATCCAACTGCACCCCACATCACCCTTAATTTAGCTATTAATCAAAAGTTTAATTTAAAAAAATCTAATTTACTTAGAAGACATGGTTTATACCTCCAGCTAGGTTAGTTATTCCAATATATGGGAATACGTGTTGGAATTATTCTTGGATGCCAATTAAATAAGTTTTTAGTAAATTTACTATCAAATATTTTAAGCTGTGAGCTTGATTCTCAGCATCAGAGTGTTTCATATTATAAATTTAAGGCCATCTTCACCTGTACAATGTAAAGATGGAAGACCTCTGGTGAGAAATACATCTTTTGAAAATTGTAGATACGCCCAAACGAATTTTGCAATTCTGGAAATTAAGACTCTTTTTGAAACATGTAGGGACAACAGTGGGAGTGGTTTGTGCCACGGACAGAGACGAACCAGACACGATGCACACGCGTCTGAAGTACAGCATTGTGGAGCAGACGCCAAGATCACCTGGGCTCTTTTCTGTGCATCCCAGCACGGGCGTAATCACCACCGTGTCTCCTTATTTGGACCGAGAGGTAACTTTCACAATCTGTACAATATTGTTTAACTGGGGGTTCAACCCACCCCCACTCCGTTTAGCATAATTTGCTACCCTATGAATTAAAAGTTGCTCATTTTACTTATGCATAAGACAATGTTACCTGTTTTTATATTATTTATATTTCCTCCTGTAAGAGAAACCATGAGGAATTGAAATACAGATCAATTGGTGTTTAGAAGGCGTTAGAAAAAAAGATACTGCTTATGAAAGTTGATACTATTGAATATTATTTTACCTCTTGTATATGACTGGTTGGTCCCAACTGAGTATTCCAGCTTAATTCTCATGTCCTTCGCTTAGTCTGCTTACTTCCTCCATGCTTGAAATGCTGTTGTTCCTTACATCCCTGCCTCTGCTCATCCTTAATCTTTCCCAGAACATCTGATTCTTGCCATAATTTCAACCGCCGTCTGTACCGCTGACTCCCAGACTGTATTTCTGGCCATGAGCTCCCCTTCAGTATAAGGGTCATCCATCCAGCTGCCTTCTGGACCTCTGTCTTTAGATTTCTCACAGGAACATGCAGTTCAGTATATGCCAGGCAGAACTCATTCTTTTCACCCCTCCTTGCCCACCTTGCTGGTGTTCACTTCCTCAGAGAAGCACTCGCTTCCTGTGGGGGTCAGTGATTCCCCGGCACCTGTGTTGGCCTGTCCCTCCAAGTGGGACACCTGAGAGCAGCATTCTCAGCCCCCTCTTTCTCTATTAACTTGTGCGTGCAACCTGTTAGCAAGTCAGACTCCATTCTAACTTACTTACAAAAAACTTTCCTCTCACCTTTCCTTTTCATCCTCATTGCTAATGCCTCAGTTTTGTACTATTTCTGGAGCGTTTAACTGGTTTCTTTGAATTCCAGCTCAGCTCACTCCAAACTATGCTCAATCTCCTTCAAAAATATTTTTTCTAAAACCCAGATGTTCCTATTTTGTGTTCCCCATACGACTCCCATAAAACTTTTCCCTATTACCTGCTAAGTCTACATTCTTAGTATAGGTCTTTGTAATTTAATCTCTGCCTACTTTTTCAGCTTTCTCCCTGTCTACCAAATTCTTTGGCCATATGCAAATAGAGAAATCAAATAAAAGCATAGAGACACACAAATTAAAGTGCGTACAATTGAGTTTTCCTTTATAAAGCTAAACAAAGGTTCTCAAGATGAATTAAATATATGCTTTGTTTTCAGGTTAAAGACAAGTACTCATTGATAATGAAAGTCCAAGACATGGATGGTCAGTTTTTTGGACTGATGAATACAGCAACTTGCATCATAACAGTGAAAGATTCAAATGACAATTTACCCACTTTCAGACAAAATGCTGTAAGTAGATAACATCAAAATCTATCTCTATTGTCATTTTTTATTTATTCAATCTGATTAATAGAATATTTATCATACTTTGAAGCATCAATTTCAGTTTATCAATCAATGAAATATCTGACATAAAATTCTCTTTTATTTATTCATATTAGTATTAATATTACCTCCTTTTTGTTGAAGGCCGTAACATTAGTTTTCATTTGTAACAAAGTTCTTTATTCACTTAAAAGATAATCCTTAATAAAGCGATGCTCTTTGTGACTTACAGTTTAAAAATAATCTAGGCAAAAACTGTAAAAGCAAGTATTTTTGGAGTGGAAGAAACATTTTACTTTCTTTATAAAGTAAGTTTCTAACGAGCTCTTTCTGTTTCAGTACGAAGCATCAGTAGAGGAAAATACAGTCGATGTGGAGATTTTACGAATACCTATAGATGATAAGGATTTAATTAACACTGCCAACTGGAGAGCCAATTTTACTATTTTAAAGGGCAATGAAAATGGACATTTCAAAATCAGTACAGACAAAGAAACTAATGAAGGTGTCCTATGTGTTGTAAAGGTACGGTAATGATGAGCAATTGACAATGTGACAAGTTTTAAGCAACCAATGCTTTAATCAGCTAAATAGTCTCAGATCATAGACTTTACAGCTTGGAAGAGAACTTCCTCTATTTTGTCCAACTGCTCTGCTTTAATGCTTGCCTTTTTTCTGTAATTTTGTTACTAGCTATTAGTTACCTAGTGTATGGTGGAACATTCTCGATCATAAGGAAAGACCTCCATGTCTCCATTAGCAGCCTATTCCATGTCTGGAGAGCTCTGATTCTCAGAGGTCCTTACCTCTATTGTGCCTAAATTATTCTTGTAATGTGTGTCTTTGGATCAGGTTTTATCTCTGATGCTGTGCAGAACAGGTTTGATCCTTTGAAAAGGCTGTTATGTCCATTTGAGATTTACCTTCTCTAGGACAAATATTCCCAATTCTTTTAACTATTCCTTACATGCTATAGTTTAGAAGCTCATTTTTCTTCTCATTCTCTCCCTGTTTCATATATTCCTGGCTCTGATTCTTTTAAAGGTGGTATTGAGGATGAAATATAGTTTCGAGGGGTCCTCTTCCCCTTACGTCTCCTCTTTTCCTTAGTAGCTATTCAAGGACGATAACGAAAATGCAAGCAGTCGGTAAGCTATAGGATATTAGTATTATATTTTTAGAAGTCATACCATGTTCTTGGGAAGAATGTTCTAATTTTCCACAGATAGCGCTCCTGAAACTGTAGAGTGTGAGCAGCTGAGTCCTGGGGAATCTTTCCATCTCAGTCTTTTCTTTCCACTTCAAGATTAGATTGCTGGTGGGAAAACCAGCAGCAGCACGCCTGGGCTGAGTGAGGAAGACACAGCCTTCATTCTCAGCATTCGAGGGGCCTCAGTTCCATCTCCACCACAATACATTTTCTAGGGAGCTGTCAGCATCTTATTGCAAATATGGGATATTTTTAAACAATTTTTTTTCAATTGATGAAACAAGATGGTACCCTGTGGTTGAAGAGAATTCATATTTTTTTCATTAATCATTGATTTTGTCCCACCAGCTTTCTAATCTCGGAGAGTTTTAAGCCACTGAGGCAATATCCAGCTTGAACCTCAAAAAAATTACCTAAAGAATCTCTAGGGCTCTTAGCAAATGACTCTAGATCAGATAACTGCACCTCCAGGGCAGCAGCTGGTTCTTAAATTTCCATCCGTTTCTCATTGCCAGCAGATGCTCTGACTCCCAGCATGACCGTAGCAACACATGCAATTTGTGAGATAGTGTTCATTAGCAACAAATAAACAGATATTCATCTTTTTTCCCACTGATGCCCCAGTTTCTGTGATATTACTAAAAGAACTAAAAACAGGTTCATGTACATTTTGTTGATTCTAAGATTCAGAAATTTTCTCGACTTCTTCTTGGACTTTTTGTGGTATTAGTAACTCAGCTTGATGATACCTAGATGTGGAGGCAGGTTTAAAAAAAATTTTACTCATCAGGTTTGATTTTGTTCAATGTTCAGCCAATGATTATTTTGATAAGCAGAAAGAGAAGCAAAGAGAAAGTTCTTTGGCTTTGTAGTACGGTGTAAAATGGTTTTTTATGGGTTTGGCTTCGTTTGCTGTATAAAGATCAACTGTCATCAAAGAATTGACTTAAAAGTTTTTGGAGGCTGGTGAACCAATTAAGCAGGAGGATTATATTGTGGTAGGAAAATGGACTCCAACCAGACCACGTGGCTTCAAACTCCCGCTCAAATGAGTCTCTTTTGGTCTTGGGAAAACCAATTTACGTCCTTTTCTCCAATTCCCTGCTCTGTAAAATGGGGATGATGATAATAATAGTATCATTAAGCACATCACTTTTTTTTTTACTCCCCTGCATTTGC